TATATGTATGTCTGTGTGTGTCTGGCTTTGTGAGAATAATGCGTGTGTTTGTGTAGCTGGATGTTTTTTCTTGTATTTGTGTTTCTGTCTGGTTGTTGTTTTTGCCCATGCTGATTTTTGTATGATTGTATCTGTCTGAGTATGTGTATCTACCAAAATGTCAAACTGCAGAACACATGAAAACGTATCAATTTTTGCAAGCCTGGCCAGAAATGCGTTACAAAAAAACATGGGCTACTACTTATAATTTTTTATTTCGAAGTTTCTCCGCTTGTAAATAATTAAAAATCATAATAAAATACTAATCAATAAAATAATAAAAAGATAATAATAATAATAACAATAGTGTTATTAATTTTGTGATTTATTGTAATAAAGTTAATGAAGAATGATAGTAAAATACACTGCACTAAAGCATGTGTCACTTATAAATGTCATAAGCTGTGTGAAAAATTTATTCGTTAGCGGTAGCATTTAATAAAGTAATTTTTAATTTTTGTTTGTTTGTTTGTTATATTTTGTATGTTTTTGTATGTTTTTTCGTTGTTGGTTTGTATATATGTTCGTTTTTGTTTGTGTTAATGCCTTTGTTGTTTTTGTTTGTATTTTTAGCTGTTGCTATTTATGTTGCCCTTCATTTTTTGATTGTTTACGTTGTTGTTGTGTTGTGTTGTTGTTGTATTGTAGTAGTAGTTGTTGTTGTAGCAGTGGTAGTAGTAGTTGTTGTTGTTGTTGTAGCAGTAGTAGTAGTTGTTGCTGTTGTTGTTGTTGATGCTGCTGTTGTTGTTATTGTTGTCGTTGTTGTTGTTAAATAACCTAATAAATTAAAGTATTTGATGTCAGTATGCCATTAATTACCTGCTAAATTTAATGTGATCTGAATTCACTGGAGCATATTGTTGTCGATGCAACTTTAATTCGAACTCAAACGAACCGGAACAAAATTTTCTTCTCTTACTTTCGAAATAAAATTGTTTGATAGTGAAAGAAATTTTGAGAATATCCATTAATGATTTATGGTTTAGGATAATTAAAACAATTTATAACAAAAAAATTCAGAATATAGCATTAATAATAATAATAACAATAATAACAATAAAATATGAGACAATACATAGACATAATTGTGAAACCTACAACTGTAACCCAACACAAAAGCTACTATGAACGTATATCATCTATTTAGATGGTTTACTTGCTTTAAAATTGTGCCAAATAGAAAATACAAAAATATACAAATATACAAAGCCGAAACAATTCGAAACGATACTATATAACACGATACGGTACGATACACAGAATTTAAGCAGGGATACCCGTACAACAAATAAGATTTAATATCTCTAAATCCACACCAAACAAACACACACACACACACATACATACATACACATTCACACAAACGTCTTCACACATACATACACACACGCACACGCACATACACACACACACACACACATCTTATACTGAAATATAAATACTGTATAATCAATGAATACAAAATATATCGAGTTTCTATTTTCATTATAAACGGTGATATCAGTTACTGTAGTAGTAGTAGTAGTGGTAGTAGTAGTGGCAGTAATAGTAGTAGTAGTTGTAGTAGCAGTAATAGTAGTAGTAGTTGTTGTTGTTGTAGTTGTGGTGGTGGTAGTAGTAGTAGTAGTAGTAGTAGTAGTAGTAGTAGTAGTAGTAGTAATAGTAATAATAGTAGTAGTAATAGTAGTAGTAGTTGTGGAGGTGGTAGTAGTAGTAGTAGTAATAGTAGTTGTTGTTGTTGTAGTTGTGGTGGTAGTGGTAGTAGTAGTAGCAGTAGTAGTAGTAGAAGTAATAGTAGTAGTTGTTGTAGTTGTAGTAGTAGTAATAGTAGTAGTAGTAGTATTAGTAGTAGTGGTGGTGGTAGTAGTGGTAGTAGTAGTAGTAGTAGTAATTGTTGTAGTAGCAGAAAAACAAACAAAAAATCAAATCTTCGTTTTAACTTTTTTTGAGAAATTTGGACGATAATGATGGTGATGAAAGAATTTTAACAACATTATTATTACCACTTTACCATCACCCTCATCATATTTTAATCAATACTATTGTCCTCATCGTCATCATTATCATCATCATAATAACCATCATCATCATCGCTACCGTCATCATCATTATCGTTATCATCATCGTCACCATTGTCATAATAGCCATCTCAATCTCGAGGTATTTTAAAATTTTCAATCTTTCAATAATTTTTCAAAATAAATTTGTATTTTGAAAACTCGAAATTAATGAGGTATGATAAGTGCTCTGGAAAATTTTATAAATATCATTCAGAAAGGTCTTAGCAAAACTGATTGAAATATTTTACCGTAGATATTATTGCTGATCGCCAACATATAAACTTCAATTAAATTTCAAGTTTTATTCTTCAATTCAGCGATTCAAAAGATAAAAATAAAAATTTTTAGTAGTTTTTTTTTGTTTTAAAATGTTGTTTTTAGTAAAATATGCTGTTTTACATGAAAAGCGAAATGGCTCAATGGTTAAGAGTGCCTGGTCTGGTTTCGCCGCGACAGTGTTCAAACACGAAAAGATCCCTATGTAATTAATTTAAAAAAAAACTATCGCAAACAACCAATCAAAATGCACCAGAACACGCTTGAGTAGGTCATTTTTTTGTCAGGACCGTGAGTTAAGAAAATAAAAAAAAATCTTCATATATGATAAACATCGTGAACAAACAAACAAACCAACTGTAACAAACAATCACAAACAAACATACAAATTCAAACAAACAAATACAAACAAACAAACAACATACAACCAAACATTCCGATTTAACGGCACCTAGAAATCGGTTATGCTGCGTTACGTTGTATTAGGCTACTACTACTACAAAAACAACTACTACTACAACTACCGCTACTGCTACTGCTACAGATATTATCACAAACCAACAACACAGAGAGAGTTGGGACGGATAAAATATGAAAATATGCGTAACAGATGATAGTTCAGATGAGTGCCCTTATTCGGCCGAATTTTTTCATTTATTCAGCTATGTTGAGTTAGAAAAGAGAATTAAATTACACACGTGCACATATACACACATACAAACATACATACATACATAAACACATACATACATGTATGTATGTATGTGTTAATCCATTTGTTACTTGCTGTTTGACGGTTCAGTGTCACTCATCATGTTTTGGTTTTAACATACATACATACATACATACATACATACATACATACATACATACATACATACATACATACATACATACATACATACATACATACATATAAAAACATACATACAAACAAACAAACATACATAAATACATACATACATACATACATACATACATACATACATACATACATATAGTCAAACATACGCAAGTAGTCTGCACTGGCTTTCCTATATAACGAAAGCAGATTTTAATGTAGAACGTGACGTTGAGTGACGTTGCATTTGAAAAAAATTTGTATCTATAATTAAAAATATTTAATAAATAATTAATAATAAATTTAAATAGTTTTTTCTATATAAATACAAAAAACGAATACAACATCCAACATATATACATTAAAATATATACATACAATTATTTATTTATACATTTTCATGATTCAGGGCGATAACATAACTATCATTGATTCAATATTTAATTAAAAGTTAATTTGACTTCTACTACTACTACTACTACTACTACTACCTCCACTACTACTACTACAACTACTACTATTACTACTACTACCTCCACTTCTACTACTACTTCTACAACTACTACTACTACCACTACAAAACAACTACTACTACTACAACTACTACTACTGCTACAGTGTTGCAGTTTTAACCACTACTATTTGTCATTTTTTAGTTTTAAAATATGAAAAATTAAACTTAAATTTAAAAAAACAAACAAACAAAATGTCGGGCCAACTTATCAGTCGATTGTACCTAACACTGGCTTGCCTGTTCACGACTCTGATGTGCGTTGTACCCTTTGTAGCGACTGCAATAACTCCGGCTAAATTCTTCTACCCATCCTCAAATGGAACGGTGATTACGTCATCATCATCGTCGTCGTCATCATCTTCATTCTCATCATTATCATTGCATTTGTCATCATCATCGTCGTCTTCATCACCAACCTCACCATCTCCACGACAATTAGTTATATCGAGTCGATTATTATTACAACAATCTTTGTTAGCATCAAAGCCTTCCACAAAATTACTACCGACACCACTATCATCTTCGTCATCTTCAATTATTTCCTCTTCATCGACATTACAGACGGTGACGTCATCATCACAGACGTCATCAACATTAAAATCAGCCACATCGGCGGAGTTCTTAAGAGACTCTTCCGGAAATAATCCACTTTTTAAATCGTCATCGTCGCCATTTTCATCATCATTTTCTTCTTCTTCCTCACCATCATTATCATCATCAGTTCATCCAACATCATTACCAACACCATCATCGTCATCGTCATCATCATCAACAGACAACCCACGTCATGTGTCTTGTATA